AATAAGCCTTCAATCAGTGTCTGAATTTTTTCTTTTTACTTGTATATTAGGACAGAGATATGTTTCAAAGGAATAAAAGATAATGTATATTTGGAGCGTTATTTACATGGTTATCCTGAGGGTTGCCATACATGACTGACTATCAAGTTGGATGTGCAGGATCTAAGTAATAGATGAGTATCAAGGTGACGTTCAACCTATGCCTATCTTTGGGAGGAAGATGAGGCTTTCCACTTCTACAAAGATTTAGCCTCAGAAACCCACCGAGCAATTCTAGTCTGTCCTATGGGTTCACTGTGGGACGGAAATGACTCACTGGCACGGAGTTTGGTTTTTTGAGTCCCTATCTTTGTCTTAGAGGTGCCTTGATGGTTTAGTGGTTACATGTTGGCCTGCTAACCACAAGGTCAGCAGTTCAAAACCACCAACTGTTCCGTCTCCAGAGGAAGATGGGCCGATTCAACTCTCATAAAGTCTCAGAAACTCACAGGGGCAGTTCTACACCGTCTGTAAGGTTGCTGTGAGTCAGAATTGACTCGAGGTCTTTATCGTTCTCCCATTCTCTAGACTGGTGTTTTATTCGTTTATGACGTATTACTTGTGTACTCTGCTCGCTTCAGAGAGTTTAAAAATAAATAGGATGGAGTCCTTGCCTTTAATGATCTCCCATCTTTTTAATTTTTAATGGACTAACAATTCTGTAAGAAAGAACCCAATAATGTACAAAGTATTATGTTTTTGTAAGAACTAGAATTTGGGGACCTGATTTATCTCGTCGCTGTCAGGAAAGACTTGAGATGGGTATACTTTTGTGCCAGGTCTTGAAGATTTAGGAACTTGTCAGGAAAAATGAGAAGAACAGCTCAAACATAAGTGAAAAAAGAGACAAGGAAATACGTTTTAAAACAATGCGTTAGTAGTTCGGTATACCTGTATCATAAGTTATATGAGAGTGTCTTAGTTATGTAGGGCGCTGGACTAGAAATACCACAAATAGATTTGTCTAACAAACAGAAACTTACTTTCTCACAGTTTAGGAGATAAGACGGCCAAAATCCAGGCTGGCCCTCGAAGGGCAGACTTTCTCTCTCTCTCTGCTTCGGGAAAGATTTTTGTTTCTTTCTGGCTTTTGCTCCCCTGTGCCAAGTGCGGTGGAGCTGTCTGCCCTCCTTTGTGCTTGGTTGTGTTAATTCCCTTATAATTTTTTATATCTCAAAAGCTATTGCCTTTAGACAATAGCTTATTGCGTATCCTTTAACATAATAAAATAAAACAAAACTCTGTTTCCACATGGGATTCTGTCTAAAGGTATCTGGGTTAATATTCCAGAACATATTTTAAGCACACATTTCAATGTCTAACAAGGGGTACTGGCAAGAGAGGAGAATCTTTCATTCCAAAAGAAGCGGGGAGTCTAGAAATTATTTTTAACAGAAATGCTCATCACTAGATAAGCTCTGTTCCAGATAACGAAGTATCCTAGATCATGAAGAGAAGACCAGCCGTAAAGAGATCACTTTCAAATGTATTACAACAGCCCTGGGAAATAATGATGGGCTAAAGATTGGACCATGGAAGTGGGATATACAATGAGAGTCAATTTAGGAGTAGAACCATTATGAACATTAGATAGAAATGAAGGAAGCATCTGTTAACACGTTTGGGTACTGGCAGATTAGTCCTCCTCCTTGTTGTTGAACTTGAGCTTGGTGAGACCCAGTGTGATAGAACTGAGTTCCGATTCTAATAAAGCGTTCTCCACATCACACCTTGCTTCTTCTGTATCTCTAACAGATCATTTGTAACTAATAATAACTTACATTTGCTTATGATTTACGCTGCACTTTAATATACATTCTTTTGACTTCTTCAAAAACAAGCACAATTCTTTGTGAAGGCAAAAAAAGAAAAAGCGGTGCCAGTGATATACTTACTCCAAGTTTATTTAGTTTTATTGTTTGACATAAGTATCTTAGTCTTTAGGATTTTCCTTTTCAAATATATAGAATTTTGTAACCAGCAGATTCATTGTTTATTTATATTGTTGATGAATTCTTGAAATTTTCACTAGGCTTAAAACGACATTCAAACTTATAATTTTAAGGTATTAGTTTTTCTGTTGGTTTTTGTTTTGTCATTTGACAAATCATTTTGCAAATAGGAACATCTTTAATTTTTGATAAACTCATGTTAAATTATATTTATTTAAAAGAAAAATTTTTATAAATGCTGAAATTTATAGACTTTAATGTGACCATTTTGATCGACAGTCTATCACAGAGGACTATTTAAATACAAATTTCACTATTACTGTGAATCCTTATGGAAATTGCTAAGTCTCTATCAACTTTACTGTTCCTAACTACAGAATAATATTTTAATAATACCTCATTCCAGGACTTTGAACCAGTTCATTCCAGTTAGACCATATCTTGAGAGTTTGAATTTTCATCCAATAACTATTGAATCAGAATCTATATCCTTATGTAACATACGAATGTAGCATAAGAATCACCTGGGGACCTGGTTAAATTGTAGATTTTGAACTAGTATTTCTGGAGTGGAAATGTAGAGGTTCAAACCGGAATGAACAAATAAAAGCCTTTCTTTATTCATTGCCTTCAAGTATCATTTTCATGTAAGTTCTTTAGCAAATAATTTCTGTAAATCCAATAGTGTCGATATGATTTATAAAGAGCCCTGGTGACTCAGGTAAGCATTGACATACCAGCTGTTCCGCGAGAAAGACGAGGCTGTCTACACTCTTTAAAGATTTACTTTCTCGAAAACTCTAAGAAACAGTTCTACTCTGCCCTGTAGGATTGCCATGTTTCAGAATAGACTCAATGACAGTGTGTCTATTTATATATGGTTCTGTTTAGAAGACATACTCTCTCACTGGCCATCCAGTCAATAGGACAGGTCGAAAGAACCCATGTGGGTTTCTGGCACTTTCACTCCTTACAGGAGTAGAAAACCTCGTCTTTCTCCCTCAGAGCCAGGTGGTGTTTTCAAACTGCTGCCCATGTTTAGCAGCTCAGTGGGTAACCACTACACCACCAGAGCTCCTACTACATACAATATAATTGAGAAACAAATATCTACAGTAAAGTAGCTTGCTTACTTTTAAAAATTATTTTTTGTGTATGATCCAAAGTTTTCTGTAGTCTCAGTGCTTAATTGGTATATATTTTTAAATCTATCTTAAAACGTCTTCTATCTCTGAACTGAAACGACCCCCAAAGGTCACCTTTCAGCTAGCTAACAATTGGTTCATAAATTAAATAATAACACTGCTCCAAACTAAAACCTAACTCACAGATGCTGATTTATAACAGCCCTGTAGGATGGAGTAAACATTCCCATGAGTTTCCAAGACTGTCACTCTTTATGGGAATAGAAAACGCCATCTTTTTCCCATGGAACAACTGGTGGTTTTAAACTGGTGACCTTTTGGATCACAGCCCAATGCATAACCACTACACCACAAGACTGCTTTTTATGCTACTCTTGGTAGTGGGTGGGGTGGGGTGGTATTTGAAAATGTTTCAAAGCTGTGCATAAGGTTTTCAGTGGCTTCTTCCTCCGACGTGGGGAGCCAAGTCCGTCTTCAGCTGAGCAGATCATCAAAGACGCTGGTCTGCTTTTCTTATATGAAAAACACTTCTTACATGAAGAAGAGTGCTGCATCAGGATTAAAGGAAGGCTTATTAACAGCCTTGTGTTGCTGAAAGGGAGGAGGAACTGAAACCCTTGGTGATGAAGATCAAGGATTGTAGCCTTCAGAATGGATTACAAGGGAGACGAAAGTCCTCACAAGTAGACCAATAGGTATCATGATCAATGGAGAGAAGGTTGAAGTTGTGAAGGATTTTGTCCTCCTTGGATCCACAATCAATACTCGTGGAAACAGCAGTCGAGATAACAGATGTATTGCATTAGGTAAATCTGCACAAGACTTCTCTAGAGAATTGAAGAGCAAGGATGTTATTTTGTGGACTAAGGTGCACCTGACCCAAGCCATGGTGTTCTCCACTGTATCACATGCACGTCAAAGTTTAACATTAAATAAGGAAGACCAAAGATGTGTTGAGGCCTTTCAATTGTGTTGCATGAGAAGAATATTGAAAGTATCATAGACTGCTAAAAGGACAAAGTAAAGCCACGATGTTCCTTAGAGGCAAGGATGGCAAGACGTTGTCTGAGATACTTTGACATATTGTCAGGAGAGACCAGTTCCTGGAGAAAGACATCATGTTTGATAAAGTAAAGGGGCAGCGAAAAAGAGGAAGGCCCTGAGAGAGATCGATCGACACAGTATCGGCTTCAGCATAGGAACAACTGTGAGGATAGTGCGGGGACGTGTAGTGTTGCCTTCTGTTGTACAAAGCTCACTATGGGTCATCGCTGGGATGATGGCACCTGAGAACAACTTGGGTGGGGACATATGGAAACATATTTAACACTGTTAGGCATTCAAAGAACGCGTATTTTTCTCCTGTGCGCTTACAGTCTCTGGAGAAAGGGGGAAAATTATAATGGGGCAAATTTTTTAATTTATTATGTTAAGAGCTTACATAATACATGCTTCTGGTGTTTAAGAAATGATCGAGATAATGATATTTAGGTTCATTTTTTACAAGCAGGCCAATCATCAGTACTTCTCCAGTACTATACGCTTCAGAAAATTACCGAAATAAGTGTATTTTACGTAGCACACTGGCCTGTTTGTAGAAGATTGATTAGGGTGTTAAAGTTCATTTTCATGGGGTATATTTATTTATTTGATTATAAGATATAATTTATCCCAAAAAGGTATTAATGACTACAACTTTGAACCCTTCATTCAACTATATTATCCCTTGCTTATTCTTTTTCATAACATATTTTAATTCATAATGAAAGATTATTTCAGAATTTACCACGTAAATTTCTTTTCTGATTTTTTTAACCTTTATGGTCTATTAAAACAATGTTCATTAATATATTTTCTTTTCTAGACAAGCCAAGTTAGACCTCAGAGTTGCATCAGCAAAAGTGGAAGATTTAACCAAAGAGGCTGAAGATCTTCAAGGACAAATGCAAAAACAGGCATCATTTTTCTGTTTCTTTTAACAGTTTTATTGGTATATAATTCACAAACCATATAATCCATTAATCCAATCATATTAAGAAGAGTTGTACAATCATCATCACAATCAATTTTAGAGCATTTTCTTCATTCTTGCACTAATCATAAGTAGTTCCATCAGTTATCTGTTTCTAGAACAATTGAATACCCTTAGTTTTAGTTCCCTATACAATTACTGTTGATCTATTTTGCTTTAGGCATTAAAGAGGGTTAATAGAAAGTAAAGTATTTCATTGCCCCCAAAAATGTAAAGTATGGAATTAGGAAGTAAATCAAAATGTTGGAAGTAATTTTATAAAGCATTTTTATTTCCTTTCATTTTGGAGTTACTGAAACATCGTATTCACCCTTAAGCACATCACTACTAAAATGCAAATTAATTCAAGATCAAATTTGGTTTATGTTAGGTGAAAGAAAAACATTACTACATGTTGTCTTGTACTAGATTGAATGTCATTAAAATATTTTTTGGCATGATAAATTGGCTCATCACAGAGGTAAAATAGAAATGTCAGGAGGGTGTCAGGAAAGATAAGACTTTAGATCTATATGGATTTAAAGATTCCCGCTCTCATACTGACTGTGTAACTTTTCTAAGCCTAATTTCCTGATCTGTAAAAATTTGACTTCCAATTAGAGTAGATTTCTGAAAGGATTATGTGAACCCTCCATAGATAACAGTTATCAAAACTGAGTCAAATTTTTAAAATCCTGTGAAGTATTCAAAAGCAGAAAGAAGTTGAGAATTTGTCCCAAATTCTCCTGCTATGACTTTGAAAAACAGCAACGGGAAACAACAGTCACGTAAGGGTCTAAGACGGCCAAGAGCAGATTTTATGGTTGGTGAAATATTTGGAATTCAGAGAGGAAATCTTGGCAGCAAAAGAACTATAAATTAATAATGCTTACATCCTGAGGATCAACTGACGAAGTATGGCTAACAGCAGAACCGTGCACGTGGGGCAGAAGGGCAATGGATGTCAGGGAGCCCGCTGCAAAACATGGGCAGAGACGTGAAAGAAATAATGTGTTTTCAAACAGAATTATTTGGAACTAGACATTCAATCCATTTCTGAACTGTGTGCAGTTCAGGCAGCGTAGCTCTGAAGACTTTAGGGTTTGAAGCTGGTAGTGAAAAAGAAAATCCCTGCCATCACATCAATTTCAGTTCAATTTCAGCTCATAGTGACCTTACAGGGCAGAGTGGAACTGTCTCTGGGGGTTTCCAAGATGTAAAAACTCACAGGCATAGTAAATCTCATCATTCTCCCTCAGAAGGCTCTGGTGGTTTCGAACGGCTGACCTTGCAGTTAGCACATCAGTGCATAACCCAATACACCACCAGGAAAGCTGGCGAGTAACTGGGAATTTACAGAGCAGTCACTCAAACTCACTGCCACCATGTCTATCGTGATTCATGGTCACCCTGCAGGGCAGGATAGAAGCGTCCCTGTGGGTTTCCAAAACTAACTCATTAAGAAGTAAAAAGCCTCATCTTTCTCCCGAGGAGCAGATGGTGGCTTTGAACTGCCCTTTTGGATCACAGCCCAACATGTAAACACTATGCCAATAGGGCTCCAGGAGCAAGGAATCCACCTAGAAAATGATCCTCATCGCTGCCCAAAGCCTCAACTGATCCTCATATTTTGCAGGCACAGAGGGGTCTCTAGGTGTAGCTCAAACTGTGAAAGGAGAAAGGTCAATATCAGCTGCTGCGTCCTTTAAGGACATTGGATTTCAAAGATGAATCCAAGCAAGACAGTTAACTAATTGAAGAAAAATAAACAGTAAACAATCATCTAAAGAATAAAACAATCTGTGGATACTGCATTGTATTATCTACTACCAAAACTGTCGATCAATAGCCCTTAAGAACGTAGATGCCCCCACTCCCCCAACAGGAACATGGGTGAAGGGAGACAGCTGTTAGTGTAAGATAGGAAAAGAATAATAGTTTATAATTTATCAAGCAGTCACGAGGTGGGGATGGCAGCAGAGGAGGGAGGGGAAAAGGAGCTGATACCAAGGACTCAATGGAAAGTAAATATCTAGAAAATAACGATGACAACTTATGTACAAATATGCTCGATACAATTGATGTATAGAATGTTATAAAAGCTGCCAGAGCCCAATAAAATGATTTTTAAAAATAATATAGATGCAGAAATCTTGATAATATTGGAAAAGTATATCCAGGATTATATAATACATATACATGACTCAGTGTGGTTTATTCCAGGAATGCAACATTTCATTACACCTAAAATTAATGAAATTTACCTGTCAACAAAATAACAAAGTCTCATTTTTAATTTATTGTGGTATGTCAATAAATGCAAAAGAAAAAGACTTTACCAAAATTCCATATCTATTCATGATATTTTTCTCCTAGAAAATTAAAACCAAGAGGGAATGTCTTCAGTTTGATAAAGGTTATCTAAAAGGTCATGAAAGATCATGAAATATATACAGCCACCATTGTACTTATAGTGAGAAGCTCACATGCTTTCCACACAAGATTAAGAATAAAGCCAATATGCCCACTGGCACCTGCCCAGCATTGTGCTGGAGTTACTATCTTATAAAGGCATGTAGTGTGGAGCTAACGTAATAAAATTTTCTTGGATTTCTGGCATTAATCGTATATGTAAAACAACCTAAGGAGGTCTCAAAAAAAAAAAGACAAATAGAATCGATATGATCACATGATTGTAAAGTACTGTGCAAAAATCAGTAGTATTTCTACATAGCAACCAAAAAAAATTGGAAAATGAAATTAAAATATTATCATTTATATAACATTTAAAAACATAAAACTTGAGCATAAATACAGCAAAATTAAGCATTCTGCAAATAATAAAAGGAGACCTAAAGAAATCTAGTGCTGTACCATGATCACGAATTTAAAGATTTGATACTATGATGTTGATTCTTCCCAATTTGGTGTATAGAGTCTATGCACTCCTAATCAAAAACCTTGGGATTATGCATAACATTGAATTGGGTGCATCAATCCCAGGTAGTTTTATGTATTTCTTTCTGAAATAATTTTGTTATTTATTTAAATATGATAACAATTTTTAAAAGTCTCATTTTACTTAATGACATTGATCTGAAGTGCATACTGGCATCTGAAAGGTTGCAGAAATGCACCTATGGATATTCTTGGTCATGTAATGAATTCAAACATCAGAAATAAAATACTGATACATTTTATGACCATGTTGGATTTACTGTAGGACTCACTGGGGTGATTTAAGCATTTTTCAATATGTTTCTGAGAATTAGTCCGTCAAAAGAGAAGTGTCATATGATTACCTTGTAGAGAAAGGCAACATAACATTGTTAACGAGAAAAAATTCTCGACTAACCCCCTCTCACGGGGATGGACAACAGAGAAATGGGTGAAGGGAGACAGTGGTCAGTGTGAGACTTGAAAAAAAAAGTCTAAATTATCAAGGGTTCATGAGGGAGGTGGGGGGGCGGGAGAGAAAATGAGCTGATATCAAGGGTGTAAGCAGAAAGAAAGTGATGATGGCAACATATGTACAGATGTGCTCGACGCATGGATGTATGCATGGATGATTGTGATAAGAGCTCTTAGAGCCCTCAATATGATGATTTTTTTTAAAAATTATAGAATCGGACTACCAGCATACAAAACCCTAAAACCCCACCTTGTTTTGTTCGATTTGCCTTGTAGAATAGTTTGAAATATTGATAGAAAACTTGATACACTGACTGTTTTGATTATTGTTTGATTATAGGTTGATGAGAGTCCCACCCCTTCCCTTTTTTACTGCTCATATGGTTTTTTTGCAGTCTTGGTGGATTTTAAAATTTGCATCCTGAAATTCCAGCAGCATAATCACTTGTGCCATATAATGGTGTCCTGCATTTTATGTTCTCAGAGTAAGCCTTTGATTTCTGCGCTTTCCAGGAGGAGGATATGGCGTCTGCCCAAGAAAGAGAGGAAGCCTCAGATCGGCGCTTACAGCAGTTACAATCTACTGTAAAACAACTGGAAACAAGGTAAATTATTCAATACTTCTAGCTATTATCAGTGCCTCCGAAAATACTTCACATCAGAGTATTAATTTACTAATTCATTAGAGCATACATTTTACAAATACTAAGTCAAATTGTAGTCACAAGCTTTACATCTGATTTACTGAACATTATTTTAAAAATAACATATTCAATAAAATAAACATGCTTCTGAGTTGATTCTGACTCATGGTAAGCCCATATATGTAAGAGTATAACTGCTCTATTGCACTTTTTGGTCTGTAATCAAACTGCTACAGACTGGGTTGAAACCATTAATCTTTACATTACCAGCCAGTTGAAAACTGCACATTGGTATATTTTGAGTGTATGTTCAGAGATTATTTGAATAATAGGATCCTCGGCCTTTTATTTAGCATACTAATGTCATCCTTTTGAAAAGAATTATTTTATGAATGACTTTTCATGAACGGGAATAAAACCCTTGGTAATCATGGATTTTGCATTAGCACAGCAACACAAAACACACCTTCATTTCCCTTGAGGTCACCCTGCTGATTTTTGAGTAAACCTAAAATCCTCTGTTTTGTCTTCTTCTGGAGAGTAATTAAAACTTTTAAAACATAGCATCTTGGGAAATTTCATACTGCCTCAACCCCTCCATAATTCTGCAGTCCAACAAATTTCATGCTGCCTCATGTCCTTCATAATTATCTGCATTCCAAGTCATTGCACTAGAGATTAAACACTGAAACCGAAAGAAGGTAAACAAAGATGGTGAATGTCATTTGTTCTTTCAGAATATTTTTGTAGTCTACCCATAAACTCTGGAAGAAGGAGTAGCTACAAAAGCTGGACTTTTTTCCCTTGAGAATTCTTTGTTTTCCATATTTGAAAATAATTACTTCTTTGTACTGATTTGAAAATCAGTTAACAATTTAAGCATTTATACATCTACACACATACATATAATAACAATAGTCCTTTGCCTCCTGGATTTAAAAAAAA